GCAAAAGCCTGTCATCAGTAGACTAAATAGGTCTTTCGCTGTTGAGTACAATTTGAATAGCAGCAAATTCTCTGTTTGGATAAGAGCATGTTTATTCTGACACAGCTGCATCTGACACCAAACATAACAACACTTCATTTGACTGCTAATGTCACAAACCCAAATGAGCTTCATGAAAGCTTATGTGGTTAATCACTACTGACAGTCTCGCTGCTGCAGTTCCATTTTCAACAATACAGCCAAGTTATCCAGTGCAAATCTATCCTGAACACATAAAATATTACAAGGCTGCTTGAGATATAACCTAAATTATGTTCACCTGGCTAAAATACTAAGTCATGTTTTGTGTTGTGCCCACCCTGCTCCGTCCATTAAGGATTCAAACTTATGTATGCTCATACACAAGCTCTCATCTGGCTTCAGATAAAGTAGAAATAGGTCCCACAGTTCAGCATGATCATCCAGATGGGTCAATGTGCAGAATATCAGCCAAAAACTGTGATGACACACTAGGCAACAAAAATGACTAATTATAGGCTCACCCTTGGAAGTAAGCTAACCATCAGATGTCCTGCCTTTCATCACAAAGACAGCTCAGTCATTGCCACAGCTTCAGTAGTCCAAGGTTTGCTGCTTTATGCAAGGTAAGAACTGTGGAAGGGATGGGCCATACAGAAGCCAGAGATTAGTGGTATTTTGAATAATATTTTAATAGTACTTTTGCTGGGTATGAAGAGTTCGGTGAAAAATTTTGACCTACAGAAATGTTTTTTATGTATTTCACAAAATCTCTCAAATTCTGTAATAACTATGTCTTACCATTTACACTGTCTTGCCCCATGGATAGGTGCTGCATTTGTATCAGACTTTACAGTAACATTAGACTTTGACTCATGACAAATTTTGACTCAAGACAATCAACTTTATGCTGTGGAACTGGATATTAGGTGGCTTAGACTCTTGGTTTTCTCATCGACTTCCACTGGAGCTTTGAGTCTTCATGTCTTCAGTTAGCCTTTAGAGGCTAAATTTTCTAAGATATTAGAATGATACTCCCAAAAGAAAGATACATATAGGAATGTGGTAAGAAGCATGCCAAAATTAATTTATATTCATATAACCACAGAGTTCTCTGCTGTATTTTCTGTTTTGTTCTTCTGACTCAGGAATCTCAATCTTTTCTCTCTGATGCACCACTTTTCTTCCCCAGCTCCTCCAGAATAGGTATCTTTCATCATCACCGTCTCTTACTTCCTCAAGGACTCCTCTATGATTTCAACAACCCCATGGTGGCTGGTTTCTAAGGAACTTGTACTATGATCTGCTGTCACTTCTGCCATTCAATACCTCTAGACCTTTCCTATCTCTAGATTACTGATTTTATTATTCAGTAGTATTACTGGCAAGAGAGAGGTACATGAACAGTAAAAAGGAAAAAATTATAATGGTCTGAATAGTAATAGCCTCTGATGTGCGCAAGTATCAGGGATGAATCGTCCAAAAACAGCCGAGACAAATCTGGTGTTATTTACAGCTCTGTGGGGAAAACAAACAAACAAGCCCACACCTGCCAATACATTACTGGTTGAAGAACCCTCCTGAAATAAGACAACCAACAAAAAAAATATGATATTTAATTCTTAGAGAAAATTGCTTTGAGGGAGGAATACTTGTGTTACTGACTGCTCTTGATAACAAGCACATGATTTCTGGAGGCTGCTTGGGAAACTGTACTAGGTGAACTGAACTAGGCCATTTTAGAAATGGCCTAACAATGAAGGTACACTGTTTGTACCGTAATAAAGGTACAATGGTATCCCACATAAATCATAATTGTGCAATGTAAGAAACCTTAATTTCCCTCCTGTGAGCTCTACCAGCAAATGTGGATTTCTTTCTAAAGACAATGTCAGTCGGCTGACAAAAGTTTTGATGGAAAGATATAGTGTCTCTAAAGTCACTGTTTCCAGGAGGCAGCTTCCACTTCAAGTAGTGAAGCCAGAAATGTGGGAAACTCTGCTGGAACAAGGGACACCCAGGTAAGTGGGTACCCTGGGAGAAAGCCTTAATCACCTCCATCACATGTTGGAACCAGAGTGGGTTTTTGTCTTCAGATCAAATATTTGCGTGAAAGGCTTCAAAACCATCAGTGCTAGGTGGGAAGATGGTCGAAAATGCTAAGAACAGCTGCTCAGGCCTAAAAAGGATTAATTCTGTTCTCTGTTGTGACTAACGGGAAAGTTGTCTTAAAATGATGAGATGGATTGGCGCGTCACTTCCACTGTCAGCTCCCTGTGCTCCACTTGTACATGCAGTGATTCACCAGAAGTGGGTGGTGGATAATGCAGAAGCGAGTGAAAGATAGGATAAAATATTCCTTGCCATCCTGAGCTCATCTGCTGAAGATTAAGGTTATTTGTTCCTTGATCACTCAATGAGTATTTTCTAACCCAAGTTAAATAAGGAACCTAGCTGGACTTTTCAAAGGTTATTCAACAATATGATTGATCTGGCTGTTTTGTTTTTGTGTGGTACAGTCTCTCATAGGTTAATTATACTGACAGCTTTTCTGCAGTGCTGTGTTAATATCAACTGTCGAAGTAGTGCCTTGGCAAATGGGAAAGTCATTACTTTTTTGTGTCAGATTCTGCCACTTGTGCTCCCACAGACCTGCATGTCACTCAGTTCTCCAGTAGCTCTGTAATAGGACTATGATCAATGACTCTTCTTGTGCTAGAAGATACCAGCCAGTGAGAACAGCAGAATTTGTCTTTTCATCCTTTGTGCTATGACACACCCGACAATTTTTATGCTTTAAAATACTGCTCACTTAAGGAAATGCTCTGCCTTCCCATTGATTGTTCAGATAAAATTAAAACCACCCTTCAGATATTTCCTTCTGTAAGAACCGAGTTACTCAACTCGGAAAGGAAAACTGTTTGGGGGAAATCCATCGCCTCCCACCTGCTCTAAAATAAAAATCAAAGGGTGTTCGAGCAGCATGGATGAACACCTGCGGAGCTCCTCTCCAGCCGAAGCGAGGGGAGCTCAGGTCACCGCTCTGTGATTGCCTGTCTGTGCTCCCGCTTCCCGGGGACTCGCAGCGCGTTTCACCTTTGCAAAATGCCGTGTCCTGAGCGCCAGGTGAGGCATTGAGAGCATCCCGTAAGCACCGGCGAGCGCGGGGTTTATTTACCGACTCACTACATTTCCATGGAAACTCTAATTGTCACACCGTGCAGCGCCGGAATACCGGGCTCCAGGGCCGCCTGGAGCGGCCTCCCGAAATGCGCTAGCGCGGCGGCTCCAGCCCCAGCCGCCGGTCGCCGGCCCCGCCGGCGGGCGGCGAGTGCGGGCAGGCGCCGGCCCCCGGGGCGCGGCCCTGGGCCGCAAGGGCGAGGACCGGCGGCGCTCCGCCCAAGCGCCGAGAAGGGGCGCCTCCGGGCGGGGGCTGCGGCGCTCGCCTCTGCTCCCGCCCCGGGCGGAGCCTCGCCCGTGCCCGGCCCGGGCGGAGCCGCGACCGCAGCCCCGGCTGCCTGCCCTGCCCTTTGCCCGCTCGCCGCCACGCGCCCCTACCGCCCCCAAGATCCGCCCTATTGCCCCGCGGGGCGCCCGCAAAGAGGGAACAGCGCGAAGGTAACGCGGGCGGCCGCCGGAGCGCGGCGGGCTGGGCTGGGCTGGGCTGGCGCAAGTTTAGGCGGGGCAGCGCGCTTGGCCAGCAGTTGGGGCGGGACAGGGGGATTCGCTTGGGTGGAGGGGCTCAGGGACGGGGGATCTCGGCGTCGCGGGCAAGCGCGGGGCTCCAGACTAAGCGCGGTGCGTGCGCCCGGACGGGGCGGGGCGGGCGCGCAGGGCAAAGCGGCTGCCGAGCGAGTTGTGCGAGGGCAAAAATAGCAGTCGTCCCCGGTTTGGTGCCTTTGCCTCTGAGAGTCAGGAACTGCTGTGCTCCCTCGCAGAAAATGTAGCCGTGCCTTTCAAGTTTTTTGTTCTGACCAGTAAATAGCCCGTTACCTTCCATAACGTTTACTTGGAGCTCGAGATATATTCTTACTAGTTGGCTTTGGCATATTTCGGGAAGTTGTGTTCTTCTTGTCCCGGATAATGTTGCAGTTCTTCTTTCAGTTAGGCACAGAAAGAGGCATACCATTAACATGCATAGAAATCCGTTTTTCTGGACTTCTGAAGTAATTTCAATCTCTTGAATTCTCCCAGGTTCTCAGGCTAGCTTTTGCTGTTGCATGTAACGAACAACATCGGAAGCAGCAGCTTTTCATCTTTAGCTGTATTGTGAATGCAACAGTTGAGTGGTTTCAAATTTTGTCTCAGATTTATCTCAGTCTTTAACTATGTGAGGGCATAATTTCTCAAGTTGTAACAACACAGCTCAATGCTTTCCTTAAGCTTCCATAGTCGGGCAGTAACAGCCTGTCTTATTAACTATTTACAGCTGTGTAGAAGTTTAAAGACCTTCTCTGACTTTTTCTATGCAGTCTTGATATAACTCCAGTATTATGGAGGCAGAAAGGCTGTATTTCCTAGGTAATTTTGCTTCCTCCCTAAGACTATAAATCATTCACAGCTATAAAGATTAATTTTCCTGTTACAAAGATGGAACTGATTAGACTATACAAAGACCAGCCAGTCAGAGTTAATAGGTATTAATATTGTAGGATATAAGCTCTTAGCCATGAATAAACCTTAATGTAAGTACCTCATCTAATAGAAGGAACATTTCCTGAGAAAACAATTGCTTTCAGAGGATGATGGTTACCCATCTAACTTTTGTGTTCTTGAAAATTTCCCTTTAAATATTTAGAGAAATAGCCGGCCTATTAACTCTCCTAAATTGTCATTTATAGATTTTGTATTTTAAGTGATAGCTTTAAGTGAAATAACGATATTAATTACAAGATAGTAAAAATATTAGCATATTTTGGGTTATGTGGTACTTCTAACTCAGCTACACCTGAAAAATGGTTTCATTTCTCCCTGTCAATCTCAGGCCCTAGACCAACTGCAGCTGAAGCACGCTTTTGATGAAAATAAGAATCACAGTAATCAGAGAGTCACACTGAGGTATACCATAAATTATTGTAATTTAAGGAGGTGTTATTTGAAATTTTTCAAGATCATGGTACACCATCTGTTATAAAATACATTTTACTGTACTCTTAAATGTTAACTGCATTGAGTCTTACAGTAAATATTCAAATCCACCTTGGGCCCTGCCACAATACTGAAGTCTCTCCTGCCTTTTGCAGCCTAGCCTTCTGTCTCAAGCATTCCACTGAAATTAAAGAAGACCTAAGCAAACCCACGTAAAGCTCACGGGGTATGAGCTCATATAGGTGTAGCTGGGCACAGTTGGGAGTGTACACAGACTAGGATCACCAAAAGGGAAACTCATTTGCTTGACTGATTGATGTAGGAGGTGAAAGTGATCCAACCTTTGGAGCTGACAGCTGAAAATCTCCATCAGGTACCTTCAGACTGACTAAATTTGAGCTTGAAAACAGGTGCAAGAGCACTCTGACACTGTGTTGCATTCAGTTTAGAAATACACTTCAAATATGAGGAGAAGGTTTTGAAAAGAGACTATATTATTTAATTCTATTTCCCACAGCAGGATTTTCATGAATCTCCATTTCCCTAAAAGCTGCACCCATGTGCTGCACTGGGTTTGACCAACCGTCAAGAGGGAGAGTGAATCTCTCAAAGTAGAGGCAGCTGTTAAAACAAAGCAGGAAGATAAATGCCAATAAGTGCACATAGCCCTGTGAAATCAGTGGCATGCTAATAAAGATCAATTATGCAGGAGGAACACTTGTTTACACCTTTACTGCCAGTGGCACTCAAGCTGAGAGCAACTGGTTTCTTTTGATCAGGAGAGGATGCTCGGAGACAAGAGATCCACTTGGCATCTTTTGAAATTTGGGGACAAAAGTCTGCTTTCATTTTACACATCCAAAATGAAAATAAAGTCATCTTTGGGCATTTTGCAAAGCAAATTTTGTCAGCACAGTAGTTCTCTGCTGAAATCAACAGATTATAGTGTTATTCCTTCCCCTCTGTCTTTCTGCCACTCTGAAACTGTGATTAGAGATGGTGCAGGAGGGGCTTCAGTGTACTACAGACTTCTGTGGTGCCCCAAGTGTCCACCTAGAGCCTTAAGAGATCATGTTGTGACTTCTTCCAGGGCTCCTTCCTCATGGAAATGAGGACGTGATAGGGAAGATGGCACCTTCTCATCTCGCACCCCAAGCAGAAGGCAGCCATAGCTCAGAAGGGATGGAGCTGGAGAGCCCATGCTGGACTTCAGAGGCATGGCTACTGAGCTCTTCCGTGTTGATGTTTCTCAATCAAATATGTCTGCTTCAGCAAAACCAGCATATTCACTTTTTAAATAATTATATTAAAAACATAATGAGCAGTTCTGCTAAAGTCATACTGCAAGAGCTCCATGTGGAGGTGTAGAAATCTACAGAAATCTAGCATTCATTTAATGAATATGTTACAGTATAACAACACTTAAATTTTGTTCTCTGGCCCTAGACTTAGCATTATCTGTATGGAATATAAATTTATAGAAGATAAAATAATTATGGTGCATCTGACTTGAAAGTCAGACTGACTTGAAAGTCTGACTTGAAAGTCTCTTCCTTTTCACTTTTAGTCACCCAAAGCTGAAAGTGGTAGAAATAACAGTGATACCACTAGATTTGTTTCAATTCTCCTCATAGAATCCATTGATTAAAACTAAGCAAAACTTAATGAAAAGATAAAGATTTCTTTACAGATCATAACACATAATTAAAATGGAATGGACTAACTAGATAGAGAGCCTTTTCTACCAGTAGAAATGCCTGCTTTTTCTCCATTCACTGATGAACCTATGGCCTATGAACCTTTTCAATGACAGCAAATATCACCAAAAACTCTAGAGAGGGAGTTGTAGTTTTGGTACACACATACATAGCTGCTATTATAACTTAAACACTGGCATGCATCTTTACTACTCAATATGACCTTCAAATGTGATGATGTGTGGGAATTTAACTGCTACTGAAAATACCTGTAGATACACTAAAAGCAACCCTAATATCTGGGTTTCTGGTAGAGAAACAGTAACGCCAGTTTGTTTCTTCTTTTACAGGTTCATCCTTCAACCTAGTTTCAGTTAAAATAGAAGACTACGCGGAATGATTGCTGTTAGCACAGAGTTACTTATGGAGGCACAAAAAAGAAATGAAAAGCTCATTTCTTCAGAGTCATCACCACCTTGAGAGCATTGTAAGAGTTTTTGAGGGTTTTTTTGAATCTCAAGATGGTACTGGATTTCCTTCTCTATTAGTCTTTCTCTCAGGTGATTAGTAACTAAGATATGGAGAGATCCAGGTCTTGAATAATTTTTCATTTCCCTTTCTCAAATAACTCTTGATATGGTTCAAACCTGCTATCAGGCAATGGGATGTTCCATTAGTAAAGCTCTTTTAATCTGTGCAAGATATAAACTGGAAAAGGAAGGTGTCCAAGCAAAAAGAAAATTGCCCAGAATGACACTAATGGCTTTTCTTTATTAACTCTTCAGTTATGCAAAGTTTTTTTCCTACACACTTCTCAGCTAAGTGTGTAGTGTCGTGGAACAAAGATAATAGAATGTTCACCCTGAAAATATTAGGGAGGTAATGTTTCATATTGAAACGCAACATAGAGTTGAAATGGCTTTCATCAATCAAAAGAGAGTGTGCAGATGAGAGATGGCCTGCACACACTGAAATCTGCAAAATCATCAGTCAGCAAAATCCACCATTCCTTCATGTTGAACAAAAAAAAAAAAAATTATAGAAGTGTGACATAACAGGGACATAATGCCATAAGCCTGAGGTATGGAGATGTATCTTATCCAGGGCAAAGCTCTGCGGGGGGGTTCCTCAGACAAAAGTTATGTAGAGTCATACTTAGGGAAAAGAAAGAATTTTCAGTAGATTTTGAAAGTCATTGTGGTATGCAGATCATACTGGTTTTGGTTGGTTAGTAGCAACTCAGAGAAATTAGCTCAGAAAAAATAAATAAAAAACTATTTCCTTCATTAGCTAATATTTGTATAAAGAGAAGCCCACCAAAATGAAAATTTCTGATAATATCAACATAGAGAGATTAGATCGCTTACAGAACCTCTATTCTGCTTCTTTAAAGTTGATCTAGAGGCAAAGGTAGTCTCAGATAGCATTGTTTGTCTATTATATGGTTTCTCATCATTTCATTAAAGATTGAGAAAAATTGTACAGAAATAATATGCATTAATGCTGCTCTGCTTGTATGCACACAGTTATAAAATTTAGGTTATTTAAATTCAAATATCCAGTTCTTAGTTCTATTTTAGCTATTTTAAAGCACTTTAAGATTGAGAGAATCTGGCAAGGCTGACTTCTTGTCACCTCTTTCCAACACATTACTTGCAAGATTTTTTTTTTTTAAATAAGTATTTCTACTTTTACATGAGGAACCTTCCCATCACAACATCACAGCCCACTGTCAGTGAATATTCTGAGGTTGTTTTAAGGTTTGAGTTTCCCTTTGGCACGTGACAGTAGGAGCACATGTGATGTGAAGGAAGGAACAGGTCTGCATGTGTAGAGGAAGCTGAGTAACATTATTGCACTTTGAAGAAGTCAGCACCATACAACTCACAGAGGAGCCTTGAAGAGCCCTGCCTTTTTTAGGTGACAGATCTAGCCTTCTGCTCAATCTATATATGCTTTAGTATTGTCTAGATGTTCCTGTTTTCTCTTATATAAGATTTCTAAACATTAAGCAATTTTGTACAGGGCACTGGCACTCTGGAGAACTTTGAAACTTTAGTACGTGCTGGTGTTTAAGGTAAACTGAAGATTGAACTAAATTCTCATGTCTTTCTGTTTGTTCTAAAATGAAGACTAATACATGAAGATTCTGTAGGCAGTATAACTTTGAGCTGAGTTAGGTTTTAATGTTCGATGTTTCTGTGCTGAATAATTAGTGGTTCACTGAATTTTCAAATGGCTGTGTGGAGTTTGCTTCCAATTAACACTGTCCTCTTTGTATTACATCCAGTTACTTTAGATGTTTTATAGGCAGTTTTCCTTTCTGCTTGAGCACCAGTTAAAATATGTTCAACGCTTAATAGAAAATGGTTTCTATATACACCACATTAGGAATTCCATCTTGGATCATTGACAGTGGATTTCCTGATCATTTTTGAAAGCTCTCACTTATTTTGTGTTAGTTCTCTACTAGCAAGGTAAGAAATGCTAGTGCAGTCATTAGTATATGTATTTTCAGGTGCCTTCATTATAATTTGCTGTGACGCAATAATTAGGCATGTGCCCAGATGGTGACTGTCATTTCCTTACCCATATCGATGGGCTGTTATGTACATGAGTAATCTCACCAACTCAAGATGAATTGCTTTTGTAGCTAACTGTTCCCTCATGGAAAGTCTGACAATATAGTCTATAGCAAAGCATAGTTAAAAGCCAGCATCATAATGCAGAACCTTAAATTGCCATTCTCCCATGTGAGCAGCCGGGTAGGAGGCCAAGGCATGCTGAACACCACATGGTAAAACCTACGTAACTAATTCATGTTGACCTGAAGTTATACAGGATCTGCCTCACAGTAGACTAACGTGACTAGTAATTTATTTGCATTGAGGTGACACCAGGTAAATTTATGTTCCTTTACATTCTGATTAACAGCAGTATCATTGTTCCTTCAGATGCTAATTAATGCCTTTCTCGTTCTAAGCAGGACTGTAAAATGGATTTAGGATTAAAAGACCGTACCAACAGGACACCTACCAGGAACACCTCTGCTGCTACAAAGAATTTTTCTGCCTGGGAAGACTATAAGAGTAGTGTTGATGACATACAGTACTTTCTTATTGGGCTGTACACACTTATAAGTCTGGCTGGCTTTATGGGAAATCTGCTTATACTAATGGCCCTACTAAAGTGCAAGCAGAAGACGATAATAAACATTCTCATAGGTAACTTGGCCTTTTCTGACATCTTGGTTGTGCTGTTCTGTTCGCCTTTCACACTGACATCTGTCCTGCTTGATCAGTGGATGTTTGGCACTGTCATGTGCCATGTAATGCCCTTCCTCCAATGCGCATCAGTTCTAGTTTCAACTTTGATGTTAATATCTATTGCTGCAGTCAGGTACCGTATGATAAAATATCCCCTTTCTAGCAATCTAACAGCAAAACAAGGCTATTTCTTAATAGTGACCATTTGGGCCTTTGGCTTCACAATTTGCTCCCCTCTGCCAGTTTTCCACAAAATTGTGGACCTCAGCAAAACTCTGAATTTAGAGGCACTGGAGAACAGACTCTTGTGTATCGAGTCATGGCCTTCCGATTCCTATAGAATTGCCTTTACAATAGCCTTGCTGTTCATGCAGTACATACTGCCGCTGGCGTGTTTAACTGCTAGTCACACGAGCGTCTGCAGGAGCATAGGTTCTAGACTGTCAAACAAGGAAAACAAGTTTGAAGAAAAGGAGATGATAAACCTAGCTCTTCATCCCTCTAAGAGCACTAGCACACAGGTGCAGTCCTCTGGGCACTCCAGGTGGAGCTGTGCCTTTGGCAAAAAGCACCACAGAAGATATAGCAGGAAGACTTCAAGTGTGATGCCAGCTATTTCAAGGCATCATCAGGATACTCATTCAAGAGATCTCCCAGAAACCTCTGGCACAGAAAAAAGTCAGCTCTTTTCCTCCAGTAAATTCATCCCTGGGATTCCTATCTGTTTTGAAATGAAACCAGAAGAAAATACAGAGATCCAGGACATGATTACAGTATCCCGATCCATTGTCAGAATTAAGACAAGATCAAGGAGAGTTTTTTGCAGACTGACAGTGCTAATCCTAGTTTTTGGTTTCAGTTGGATGCCTCTTCACCTTTTCCACATTGTGACAGATTTTAATGCCACTCTCATTTCTAACAGACATTTTAAATTAGTATATTGCATATGCCATTTATTGGGTATGATGTCCTGCTGCTTGAATCCCATCCTCTATGGGTTTCTTAACAACAGCATAAAAGCTGATTTAATGTCCCTTATCCCATGCTGCCAAATACTATGATTTTATGTGCCCCAAGATAAAGTAAAACAAACAAGTATGGCTTTCAAGCCTACTGGCATGCATAGCTGTAAAAGATATGTAAAAGATATTAGTTTAGTTTACTTAGTCTGACTTGGTTATGATTAGTAGCATTTTATGTGAATGTATAGTTCTATGGCTGCATGTATTTCTTGCATTGGGCAGAACTATATACATATGTTATAACATTTCCCTATCTCTTACACGTAGGAAACCATGCCCAGTGTACAAAACCGGAATACCATTTTCATTACCTGAAATGTTGGCAATCTGTACTTTGGAATTATACAGAATATATAATGAATAATAAATGTAAGACAGACTACTTAGACATATCAGTATTAACTGTCATAAAACTATAATAAAATACATAAAATTTACTAAATAACTATTGTTGAGACTATTTCAGAGCCAACTTTGACTGTTTTCTAATATAAACATCTCTTTCTGGATGTGATTAGAAAAATATTTTTACTTAGCTCTGTGAGTCATAGTTTGCAATATCTTTGCAATATGCTTTGCTACTGGTTCCTAGGTTGCCTTACTCCTTGGTTTGAGGGTTGTTGTTTTTGTCTTGATTGTTTCCATCTCACCATGTTTACCCAGTGCAACCTGTCCCTGATTTCCTTAGCCAGTTTTCACTCTGGCTTATCATTTTATGTAATTTTCCACCAGCCTGAACTTATCTATAGTTATGCCTTTGTTCTAACAGTGATGACACCCCTGAACATACAACATACTTCTGATCAGAGTAAGCCCTCATTACCTAAGCAAGTGATAGTGGAAAGAAAAAGAAAATGGAAAGACAGCAGGATTTTTTCTTTTCCTTTACAAAAAAGCAAAAGCTTACTGCACTTCATTATAGCTGACCCACTTGCTTTGGAAAGCTTTAACAGCTTTCAAATAAATTTGTGCATGTGTGCCCTGACAGGTGGGAGGGATGAGCAGAGTGGATTATTTTTAAATTCAAGTAGGGCAAGTGCAGGGTCCCGCCCCCAGGGAGGAATGACCCCATGAACCAGTGTTTCTGGTGTCTGACCTGCTGAAAACAGCTCTATGAAGAAGGACCTGGAGGGTCCTGGTGCACAACAAGCTGTCCATGAGGCAGCAGTGTGTCCTTGTGGCCAAGAAGGCCAGTGGTATCCTGGGGTGCATTAGGAAGAGCATTTCCAGCAGGTCGAGGGAGGTGATTCTGCCCCTCTACTCAGCCTTGGTGAGGCCTCAGCTGGGGTACTGAGGGTACAGAAGTGTCCTCTTCTGGCCTCCTCAGTACAAGAAAGACATGGAGCTCCTGTAGCAGGTTCAGTGGAGGGCAATAATGATGATTAAGGGACTCGAACATCTCTCTTATGAGAACAGGCTGAGCGAGTTGGGCCTGTTCAGCCTCGAGAACAGATGACTGAGAGGGGACCTCATTAATGGCTGTCAGTATCTGAAGGGAGGGTTTCAAGAGGATGGATTCAGGCTCTTCTCGGTGGTGCCAAGCAATAGGACAAGAGAACAAGCAGGAACTGATGCACAGGAAGTTCCACCTGCATATGAGGAAGAACTTTAGTGTGTGAGTGACCAAGCACTGGAACAGATTGCCCAGAGAGGTTGTGGAGTCTCTGTCACTGGAGATATTCAAGAACCATCTGGATGTAATCCTGTGCAATGTGCTCTAGGGCGACCCTGCTCGAGCAGGGAGGTTGGACCAGGTGATCCACTGTGGTCCCTTTCAACTGCACCCATTCTGTGAATCTGTGCATGCACGCACACGTGTGCAAACACACACACACACACACACATACACACATGCTTTCTGCATCTCCCTCTCCTCTCTCTTTTTCTCCTTTTTAACCAGACCAGTATTTTTCCTTCCAAATTTAAGTCACATGCATCTTCCCTAAGTCATATTACATTTCACAGCACAAATGCAAAGAATATATAATAAAAATATAAATAAATAAACAAACAAATACACACACACACACACACACATATATATATATATATATTCTCCCCCCCCGGATTACTCTAGTTTAATAATCCATCTCTGCCCTCAGGATTCAGTAAATGTACAAAGCCTTTGCCTATTTAAGTTGTAAAACCTCTCCTCAGGTCTAGCTGGTGATTATTTCCTTTTATCCACTAAGACTTTTAATCCAATAGGCCTTTGTATGTAGCTTCTACAGGCTGAGAAATAAAGTTTTTCTTTTTATAGATGGGTGGTTGGAAATGGTCAGTGTGCATTTTTTTTCCTCAAGATACTTCCCTTCCAGTTAGTCTTTAAAAGTGAAAGCAGTTCTTTTATTTTGAGGAATCATCAACTTATTTTTATCACAATGTTATCATTCTGAGACTTTTTCTCCCCAAGCCACTATCTGCTGAGGAGTTTATTACATACTAGTGGGTAATAGCTTCTACCCTTAAGGTATTTTTCTGAAGTCTAGTTCTCAGTAACTTGTTGTTCTTTGTTTTCATTAGTTATATGCTTTAATAGTTTCTTCCTGGACACTGACTATTGCATTTTGCAGATTATTATCTCCTAAAACCCTACAATATGTCATTAAATGGAGTACAAATGGTACAGAATAGACAGTGCTGGAACAATATATTTTAAAATAGCTTTTTAAACATTTTAAGTACTTCAATTTAAAAATATTTATGGCTAGTCTTGGTAGATAAAATTAGAAGAAAGTTAACTAAATTTACATCCAGAGCAAAATGATGTAGTTCTATAGAAATTACAGCAGCTCATGCCCTATTTCTGCCTACAAATTTTCACATAATTGTAATATATCGTTTAATCTTATTTATACCGTGTGATATAGCCAAACAGTATAAAAGGATAAGAAAGCAGTCACAAGCTTGAAATATTCCTTCTGACTTTATTTATTTATTTTTTCAGTGTACTGTTCTCTTCCATCGTAATTGCTATTTATTTTCTATTCCTTCCTTTCTTTCAGAATTTCAACCATTTTTAACTCCTACACTGAGGATTGTTATTTTATATAAATTAAATGTTTATTTAGTAGTTACTCTTTTCAGATCAAATTCTACTCACTTTATATGACACACAGAATCATGCTAGGACTTGAATAAGGCCTTCCTCTCATTTCTGAGGTGCACAAATATTAATCTGTATACTGGAGATTTTATATTTATATCTCTTTGCCTGGATGAAGTCAATAACCATGTTCCCTACTCTTTACACTGATCAAAGCACAACAAATTGTAATTTGGCAATGGAGAATTAAATCAAGACAGCTATTGAACTTCTTTAGTCCTGTGCCATCTAAATCTGTCATCTTCTCTTTTTTTTTTTAAGTCAATCAATGGTGGCAGAATGTGTATTTTCTTTTTATATATAAAGCAATCATCAGCATTATATTTTGAAAATTCCAAAATGTCCCTGTCTTTCCTCTGAATTGTTAAATAAAAATAAAATAACTTTTCTACCTTAAACTTTACTTCAACAGCCAGTGTAGCTTGGTCCCAGTATCAGCAAGGAATACATACAAAACAAACAGGAGCAGTAGCAAGTGAAATCTCCATAGTGCCATATCAACAGTGGCTGGGAGAGACAGTTACGGCTTCCATGGGTCTAGAGTAGCTGTAATCTCAGCAGGCACAGCAGAGTCCCTGCCTGGGGTCTGGCAGGCAGGGAAACTGCATCCCAGGCAGGTGCCTGGTGGGACAGAGCCAGTCCTGGGTAGGACTGTGTGGACTGGAGAGCTGGCAGGGACACAGTGGGAGACAAAAAACACATTGCTTCTGTGTTGGCTGCTGGTTGGAGCCTTTTCCAGCCTTTTGCACAGCCCTGTTCCTGGAGCCTGGAAGCTCTCATGACAGCATGAACACCTGAGAAAAGGAAAAAAAATCCACTGATCTGAAGACACGCAAGAACCAAGAAGAGAAGCACAGTCAGGAAGAAAAGTGTTCACTCCCAATCATTTTGAGATAGGCTCCAACTCTCCTTTTGAGAAGTATAGGCGGGTTGCATGGAAAACTTCTCTATCTAATGATTATTAATAAATTAAAAAACCCTTCTGTGATTCATAGGGGTCTGTCAGCCATCACTGCACTATTGAAAAGAAAAAATATCCATAGATTCTCACAGTAGTCCCAATATCTCTCTGTAGCATTCAAAATAAAGAGTATTAAATTTCATAGTCTCCAGAAAGATTCTTCCATAAATACCGGGGGGTCCAGGAATATAGCCTATGATTTTGATGAAAGCCAAATTATGCCTATACTATTTACATTAAAAAGTCCTGGCCAGAAAATTGATTAGTACAGCCTGGAACAGTCTTAGGTGGTTATATAACTAGCATATAACTAGGACTCTGGTCCTAGACAATTCTCTTCCTTTTTCCCTACTGTGACTGCAATAATGGTATAAAATCACAATCCCCACAACTCAAAAGATGATTAGATAAATTTTTGAACCATTTTTGACCATGATATGTGGTTTATAATCTCTGAGGTCAGGTTTCTTTTTCTTTCATAGGGTTCTTCTATATATAGTTGAATGCAAACCCCTCTTTTTTTTTTTCCCTAGAGCCTTTTATGTGCAATATGTAATGAAGACTCCAGAAGTTGCTTGGTTTTGATCCAATAATATCTATCTTTATCATATATTGCTTGAAAATTGTCTTTGCACTGGAGGTAGGTAGAGCTGTTGTTATTGTTAATATTCAGTTTTAGGAAGGAAGATAAACAAAAGAGAGAAAGAGAAATAAAAGCAGATCCATACTAACGCTAGCTACCCACATTCTGCCACTGACAAAGGAATGTGTCAGAGCCAGACCCTTCTCAAGGATGTGCCATGGACAATGAGTTTGTAATAGTACCATTGAACATTACTGATCCCACATGTGACCAGGAAGCCTATTGTAAATTTCTGAACATGAGTAAGTAATAGCTCATAACTGAGTATGCGTACAAGTACTCTCGAAATTACCCCTCTCAAAATTTTTCTTTAATGCAAAAGCATTTTCTTTTCAAACATTTGATAAAGATAGCTTTGCCTGTGCTCACTCATAATGCATCATGCTGTGCCATTAAGACAATCTGTGTCATCATACTAGGCCATGAGTCTATACACATGCCAGTGAGTCTTACCACAGCACCTATTTTTAAACCTCTCAAGACTCAGACATATGAGAAACATCTGCTCTACTCCAAAGCTTACTATGATCTCCTGCCCCCCTTATCCGACTTCATCTCAGTTTTAAAAAAAACAAAACCCAACACTTAATAAAGTTTGTCCATGGTAAAAACAGTTTTATTGATTCTGATGCAGTTTGTCAAAATCCTGATTTCCTCA